GCTGTCGAGCTGTCGAGAAGATGCTTGTAATGAGCGATTGTATGGTGCCTGTCTTTGTGAAGGGCTCTGAGTAATTTTTGCAAGCATTTGGTGCATCTATGCATCTATAAAGACATACACAGCAAATGTGAGACAGGTAAAAAATATTCTTTGCGTAAAAGTTAGAACGCAGAAACTTACATTCGGTGGCGTTTCGTTAAGTGCCGCCGTATAACATGCCATGGCTTCTTCGTTTCTCTGTTTAACAGCCAAAAAAAAAAAAAAAAATTATTATAGAATTTAATTTTCATTTACAAACTTATTATTCGCTTGCCATCGTTCAAAGGATAAATAACAATTACAATAAAATTTTGGGCTATAGTAATTATTATATATAGATCTATCTTTCTTAAATATTTTTTACATTTTTATATGGATCATAATATGCTCCTTCATGTGAAGAAAAGATATTAAACTATTACGCGTTTTTGTCACTTATTAAAAAATGAGTAATAATAAGAGATAATAATACCATTGATTACTTATAAAACTAGGTTTATCTTCATTTAATATTCTTTAAATGTATGCACAAATAATTTAGTTCAAATATAACGTAAACGTTTTGAAAATTTTATTAAAATTGATTAAGTATCTTGTTGCCATAATTCGAAATATTTCAAATGCACTAACGCCGAATACATTAATGATTCGTATCGTATAATCTCCACGTACTTGCACTCTCTGTTGATGCATCGCGCTTAACTGATGCTTCTCCGCGGCGCCGCTCTCCTCGAGCGCGGCAACTGTCTCTTGGAATCGCGCCGTCATCCAACGCTTGAAAGCATCCGCGGCGACGGGATCGTGGGCCCTGATGTCCTGATATCTCTCCTCGAGGTCACTCCAATCCTTCATCACCTGAAAGCGTTGTAGCACAAAGATTTCGACACCCATGTCCCGCGCCATAAAACTTTCTTTTTCCAAGTATACGATTTGTATTTCTCTTATTTCGTTTCTCTCGAATACAAGTTTCAATATCTCTGCTTAATCTAATTGATTATACTCTGTGTTTGCTTTCTCCATTCTACATCGGTTAAGATATAATGCAGTATAGTGGTACCAGATGTACGCTAACATTGTCTTACTTTCTCTATTGCAACTAGAATCGAACTTACTTTCGTCACTTTCTCCTTGTGCACTTCCTCGAGTCGCATCTGAGCCTGCTTGTAACTCTGATGCTCGGATCGCGGATCGAAGTGCGTCAGATAAGGATCGGGCGTGCCTTGTGGTTGGGATGGCTGCTGCGTGCTCGTGCTGATCGGCAGCGGCATCGCCGTCGCCTCCTGCTTGGCTTTTTCCGTCGTGGAAACGGTCGTTGATGATCGACTAGATTATATTAAAATAAATATATAATAAATAATTTGTCTAATCTTTTTTCTATCTATAAAAAACAATTTCATATATTATAATAAATTCTTTAAGCTAATTGTATAGCTATTTATATTTAATTTTCTTTTTAATTTTAGAAAGAGAGAGAGAGAGCTTCAGTTGACTTCATATTTATTGGAATATAAAAAATGCACATCTCTCGAAGAGTGAAGATCTATATTATTTATAACTACCTGGTGGTCGTGTCGTAATCGTCGAGATCGTCGTATTCCTCTTCACTTTCGTCCTCATCGGGTTGATCGCTAAGCACGTCGTCGAGATCACCGTCGGAGTTATCCTCGTCCTCAGCGTCTGTGTCCAGATCATCTTCGTCATCGAGATCATCCTCGTCCTCGTCGAGATCGTCGTCCATGCTCTTCGGGATGGGCAAATCGATCGGTTTTTTCACTTTCACGTTCTCTGCAAGAAGAGAAGTATATTTCCCCCGATATGCATCTTTACGAATCGGAAAGATTCAATTATTACGTAAATATAAAACAATGCGCATTGATTCTGATATAGATAAATAAATAGGTTCTTCAGCGCGTGTAGCTTGCGCGAAAGATCTATGTAAAGAAAAAAAAAAAAGAAAAAAAAAAGAAAAACAGAACATTTGATTAATACATAATATTATTACGTTCCTCATTGATTATATGAAAATATCGTCCGCGTTTTTCTCGCGTTTCTCTAACAATAGCTAACGAATATGACGGCGTACATATACACACATACACACGCGCGTCCATCGCGTACACATATATACTCGGTGCGATAGGTGCAATTATTGGAATTCCTGTCTGCGCGCACATTCCAGTATATCGACTGCCATTGTTTGAATAGTAAATGGACGGGATTGGGCTGGCCGCAGATAGCTCCGCGGAATTCTGGCCCATAATCTAAATCAATGCGCGCACCATTGATACACTGGCAGTGGACTGCCACTTGATTATTTATCGATATTCTCATACTTGGAAAGAACGGGGAATCAATACGATAACATGCATCGTAATTTGATAATTTTACAGACATAATTGACGAGCGGATCCCGATTTCTCCACGTAAAATAAATATCGAACTGAATATCGAAATAATTTCGACACAAGCGAACACTTATATTCTTCGTAAAAGATGGACACATTAAAAAAATCGATAGAAAAATTTATTCTGTAAAAATTGTAAATTTAAATATTTTTGAATTGTTAGTTAATTAAGAACTGAAAATTCACGCGCAATAAAATTCTTGTTAAGCTTTTTGTGAAATATTCATGTGATATATTCTATTAGGATAAAGATAATGAGAGAGGATTGCCGCCGATGAAATAGCATGAAATTTGAATGTGTTTTAATGCGTTTATGTTGAAACGCATTTCATTTTCATTCCAGTTGCCGGTGTCGCATCTTTCCAGTTTAGAATTTCTAATTTCACCAGGTTACCATGGAGAAGAAGCGGGACGCATCTTAGCTAACTAGGTTCTCGAGATGTGTCTCATTCGCCGAGAATAGATACTCTGATGAGACGACTTCTCGACTTCTGCAAAGGCAGACAAAAGTCTCTTCTGACCATATCCACCTGCGTCGTCGTTTTATCCGGGTCACACGATAGATATGCGGTAACTGCAAGCGTTGGCAGTTTCTCCGGAGGTTGCCTTATGTCACGATTGTTCGTCATAGAGAGTTATAGATACCTTGCGAGATTGGTTTATCCGGAATCGATCGAAAATGTCGAACAGAAAAGGATACAAAGATGACAGAAATTCAAAGCTGTCACACACACAATGCCGATATAATAAATATATTGTTAAATAGGTATATAAAAGACGTAGCATTGTATTATATATTTTTGAAGTAAAATTAAGAATTTTTCTCAAAATGAAATTTATTTATTTTCAATAATAAATTTGTTCGTATCTATTTTATTTTTATAAATTGAGCTTTACTAATTATACGTCTCTATAAAGTATCTTTAATCATAATTGCATTTGGAGTGGAGAAAGCCACCTGAAATTGGATCTTTTGTCGGAAATTAAAATGTACAAATGTCAAGATATAACAATACCTTTTTTGAATTAAAATTTAAGGAAAGTTCAAGGCACATTTCAAAAAATAATTTTTATGGCAACTTGAATTTTTAATTTCTCGACTTTAATAAACTCGATTTATCGTAATTTATCTTAAGTCGAAACTAAGTTATTAAAATATCGAATGTGTGATAAGATTTCCAAAATTGTTTCAATCAAAAGATATCATTTTAGTTTTCCATAAAAAAGATGGAAAAATCTCATGTTCCGTTCGTCAAGTATATCTATTACCGAGCGCTCTGTATGACCAATGTCTATTTCCCTGAATTTAATATGTTATTGTTAGCTTTATTTAGTATAGTTCCATTTTTCATTCTCCGGACAACATGTGTCTCATCCCAGACTTGCATTACCTATCCTGAAAATAATGGAGTATAACATTCAAGCAGGCGCACATAGCGGACAAAACGGACAGCCCCGTGCGTGTTAATCGAGCCTATTATACATGATGTATAGGAAAGAAAAGTTGCGCAGCGACGCCGAAAGCTACGGCGTGTTACGTTGCGCAGTCGTCGGGAACGTCGGTGGCGAACATTATTGATTGCACGAGAGAGAGAAGACAAGAGAGCTTGTGGCGAGGGAAAGGCAGAGGGAGGAGAAAAAGAGAGAGAGAGAGAGCTTGCGGAGAGTGGCTCGAGCCAGCCAGGGTGTTGGAAGGAGACGAGGAAAGAAGCGAGGCGAAGTAGGTGGCACCCCTCGTTTAATACACTCTCTTTGCACCCTCCTATAGTCGTTCTCTCTTTTTGTTCTTTGTGACAGTTGATTGAAAACGAACAGCCGCGTATTTTTACCGTGCAATAAATACGCCGCGAATTCGTCGTAAATATTCATGCCTCCCCGATTCCTCTCTTTCGATATGCTTTTTGATTAGACACGCGTTCCATTAAACGCGTTCTGCTATACAAAATGAAATAACAGAAAGGCGAAATAATAATACGATATTATAACATCGCATCAAAGTAAAAACTGTATAATACAAGACTCCGTAGAAAAAAAAAAAACGTACGAATTTAATATTATCAAAGTAAGTAAATGACAAATGCAAGTGAGAAAATCAATGGGTTTTGTACAATGAATTTATATCCAATGTTGCGCTCCGATTATCTAACGTTTCATTGTTCTTTATACCTTAAAATATAGGATTATATACTTAGTGATTGTAGTATTGTTACAATTTTACTCCGAACAAAATAAACGTATAAAACCAAAAATAATTTCTTCTTTAAGTTGAATGAAAATTTGTAAGTTTCAACTCGTGAAATTATTTGTGCTTAAAAATACTATAATGACAAACTATGTATAGTTGGATTTTGTCATATTAAGAGTCCAATATATTTAATAGAGACAGGCTAGATTCGCAAAAGTTAAATCTCAAAGTAAGAAATCGCCGCAAATATTCTCGCTTTACGGTAAAATGACCTCGCGCCAAGAAGATGCCCGAGCTCGCGTCTGGAAAGGATATCGTGAGATGCAGGCGCAGCGAAACGTTCGCACCGATGGAATATGCATGAAGATGAAGCCGGGCGCGATCTTCGCACGCTGAGAATACGCTCAAATTATTCGTTTCCCTCGAAAGCTCGCGAAAGCGACTTCTCGCGCGTATCCTCGCTTATCCCTGACGTTGCGACTCGCTGCGTCTCTCGCGCGCGCAGAACGCGAGGTATGAATGAACGAATGAAAAGTATGAGTGATAAAGCAGTCGTACGTACGTTACGTACCTTTCAGGTGTTTCGGGCAGCATACAAATTCCACACCGGAGAACAGGGATATACCGCACGGGAGCAACATCGCGAAGCTACGCAGATTCATGTTTCGCTCCCGACAGGTCTCCGCCGCCGTGGTGTTCCAACTGTAACATAAATCCCCTTGTTGCAGTCACGTGTACTCAAGGACGCGCACTCGATTTCGTGTGATGCGATAAGCAGACTTGCGATCTTCGTATTGATGTAACATCGTTAGATCAATTCGCGAAGCTAGCAAGTAGCTGGCATCGCTAATTAGCGAAGTAATTATATAAGGTGGTCCGTAATTCGTGGTACAACCGGCAAGAGATTCGGCTGGATTCTTCATGAAAAAATAAGTCAAAATTATGGCTTCGTTTTTGATCAAATCGACTTTAAATATTAATTGAGTACGCGTGCACTTGATTAAGATACCATTGAGCAGATCTAGATACAGACCACTATTTACTCTTCTGTTTATAGTGTCCAGTGCGCACTTTAACATAGGATATGTAAATTAAAATGAGACACGATATTTCCTTTCGAAAATTTCCTAAAAACAAATTTTTTTAATTAAAAAAATGATATTTTTAAATTTCATTCTACAATTTTGACTTATTTTTTAAGAAGAATCAATCTTTTGCCGGTTGTACTACAAATTACGGATCACCCTGTATTGAATTAAGTACGCAATTAAAGCAGAATAAGACGAGATAATTAATGGATGATTTATGATGGCGCGTATGTAAAGACTAATATAAGAGCGCGGTAAACTTATTTATAATAATTCGTTAATAATACAATAGCAAACGGATGAATGGGATGAAAAATCACGTCGTTTGCTTTCTTCGCAAAACGGAAATACTGCGCTTAAAACTATTCTCGCTCGATTTGCTCGATCGCTTTGATGGTACGCGGACGTTTTAAAAGCTTAAACTCACTCGAGAAATAATTTCATTTAACGGAAATGTATTCGTGTATATACGTTCGTTACCTGTGAGAATCCCAGCATTTTGTTTGATTATGAAGATGATCAAAGAGACAGCCCTCCGGCACGAGAAGTGCGTCGCTCTGGAAGGGCCCCTCTGAAAGTAACAAATGGTACATATTGCAGTAGCTCGAATTCGAGAAAAGGCTCGATTAAACTAGTAAAGGCCGGGCATCGCCGGTGTTTATTCTTATTCGCTATTTCTAACCGATGATGCAATATCTTTCTTCCTCTTTCTCTTTCC